AGCTTTTTATCTTATAAGGTCTTTTAGAAAAAAATTATTTTACTGTATTTTTTATATGATTTGCAAATAATTTTTTATTCACTTAATTTACGTTTTCGTAAATTAATTTTTTTAATTATCTGATTTAAATTGTTAAACTTTAAGCGCTTGTAACACTTTGCATAGTAAAATGCAAACATTATCTAACGTTGGCCTCAAAAATAATAACAAAAATGTCTATTATCACCTCTCAAGTTGCATTTAACGATTGTAATAAGTTGAAGAAACCGCGTCAAGAGTTAAATTAATTGATTTTTAATTATTTTTAAGTAAAAACATTGCTGGTAAAGTTAAATAGTTTTTCTAAAAAAACATTTTATCAATAAAACTATTTAGCTTTGAATTTAATTGCTTGTTTCTTTGGCTATTGTATTATTTAATTGCTACATAACCATAGAATTTAAACAATGCTTTAAGTTGAAATCTTAGATTTGTTATTCAACCTTTTTATGTGGTCAAAATAATTTCAAAATGATAAAAAATGATTAAAAAAATGTATTTTTTAACACAATTGTTTCAGCAATTAATCGCCAGGGGTTAAAAATTATTAAATAATTTTTAATGATTTTTAAATTAATAATTTTTAGTTTCAAAAATTGTTAATTAATTTTTCTACATTCTCCCAAACATTTGACCTTTGTTTGAAATCTATCATTACATTTTTAAACAATAATATCGGTGCTGATAAAAAACAGCTCACTCTATAATGAGTTATAAAATACGATGTAACGCTACTTAGTTTACTTTAAGTTAAAGGTTGCTAGGGTAATTTATGTATTATATAAATGTTATAGTATATATTTATGGGCTTTTGAATCAAACAAATGTGGTAAAATCCCACAAAATTTAGTCTTTTAAAAAAAATCCAGCACAGACTTTTTGGAACCAGATCGCAGCTGACTACCAGGATTGCTACTTAAGCAAACTATCATTACTTGTTCCATCAACCAAAAATCAATCTTGGATGACTCAACAAAGTAATTCAACAAAGTCGCATAATTTTGCATACTTTAGCTGTTCTTTCGTGCTAAACTTTTATTCACCTATTTTTTTTTCCTTAAACAATGGTGCTTAGGAATTCTCTTTTTTTCTTTTTTTTCTTCCAGACTCATACAGTTTGCAGTTTTTTCTTTTGCAATTCTCTGTCATCAGTATTTTTTCTTTACAGGTATAGTGCCCTTAAAAAGACAACAAATTTAAATTGGCTTTAATTATTTTGGGAAGCCTATTTTTTTTAAAGTATTTTAATTTTTATTTTGTTAAAATAATTTTTCCTTGTGGTTGAAAACAATAATCAAATTATTAATTTAATGTATTACCACATTTGTTTGATTTGACTATTTTGGGCAAGGTGCCCTTAAAAAGACAATCTTTTTATTGTTGCTATCTTCTTAACGATTAACTCAATTAGGGAGATATTTTGCATGGTATTATCTGCCTAGTATAGGTATCATATCATATGAAGATATCTGGAATTATTTAATGATTTAAAAAAAAAAAAGAATAAAAATCATTTTACACAAATAATGCATTTTGTAATAAGCATTAAAAACCTCATTTTCTGAAGTTATTTTTGAAAGAAGTACTTCTTATAACAGTTCAATTTCTTTTAATAGCTACTTCTTGTTTTTCAACTTTGTAAAAAGACTTAAAAATAAGTAAATCGCTGTTTTGTATTTCAACATTTCTGTTGTAACAAATGTTGTAATAGTTTAACATGATAAAAATAAAAATGAAACCAAAATTTAGTTTAAGAGTAGCAGCCAATGCAAATTCTGTAATTAAAAAGCCAAGGAATAAATCTGAAGCAATTGTAAAACAATTTAACCAAAATGAAAGAAACAAACAGATAAACAAAGCTGTAGAGTGGCGCAAAATTAATGGAAAAGGAGGATATTTTGCATTATGAACAGGTCAGTTTCCATTAATAAAAAACAAAATTGTGATTAAGAATGTGATTGTTATTGAGAAATTTGTGACAGAGAATGAATCACAAGATCACAAATCCTTACTTGCATTTTGTAAATTATTTTTTAGACACTTAATATGTCAAATTGTTATGACAGGGTGGCCAGCGGTCCTTGAAAACATGGAAATGTCTTGGAATTTGATAGGTCCTAAAAAAATTCCCCTTTTAACAATAAATTCCAGAAATGTTTGAACTTTTTTCTGAAATAGTTCAATATTACATTATCATGTTTTTACCTTTTACAGAAATATTATTAATATTGTGTAGATTTCTACTGAATTTATTATGTATTTTCTGACTTGCAAAAAAATTTTTGTTAACTGTTACTGTCAGTATTATTAACATCTAAAAATTATTTAAAAAATATAATATATAAATAATATAATGCATAAGACAAAGAACTGTCATTTTCAAACAGAATGGCTAGAATGGCTTTCAATTTCTTAAAAAAAAATATTAGCTGCGTCTCCTTTTAGATTTATTTTTTTATGTTTACATTTTGATCTTGCATAGTTTAGAGATGAAAGAATTGAAATCTCAAAAGCATTAAATAATTGATTTGGTCTGTTATTGCAACTTTTTGATCAAATTTACAAGTGTGTTGTTTGCAAATATTTTAATCAAATTGCTGCAATTATCAACTAATTAGTCTTCAATATCATATAAACTTCAAATTTCCAGACAAATTTTTAATGTCACAATGCATTGTAAATTAAAAATTAAATTAGTCTAAAATCTTGGTATTTCAAAATTGATTTAAAATCTAAATTTTAACTATTCACAGCTAATTTTATTTAATAATATTAAACAACCTTTATACTTCCTAAATATGATTAATACCAAATTTAAAATTGTGGCATTTGGTTGGAATCAAATACTTAAATATTTGATTTTTATGTATTTTAGTGAAATGATTTTCTTTTTTTTTTTTTCCTTTTTTGAAAACATTAAAATAATAAAAAAATATATTTTAAACAATAATGGTTCGATGTGTTTAATAAAATTAAAAAAAAAAACAAAAAAAACTATATTCCTTAAACAAATATCATAACTTTAAATTGAACCTGTCATTTTGAAAAGGTCCAAAACTTTTAACATTTTTAAATTTAAATTGAAAATTTCTGTATGAATTATGTTTTTTTTTATCAAAAATAAAAGTTACATAAGTAACGTTCTTTATTTATCTACTTCTATGTTTAGTTTCTTTACCAGCGTAGACATTATTTTAATAAAAATCATGTTTTTGTTGATTTTGAAAAGTTTTGATAAATGGACTTGTGCCCTTTTCAATATGAGAGGTTCAATCGGTCTTTTTATAAAAGCAAAAAAAGTCGTCGATTTTGAACTAAAAAATATATCATAAAGGATACATGGTCGCAGCTGTTTTTTTTTGTGAACAATAACTACTGTTTAGTAAATGTAAAAATCAGAAATCTAAACAATCTTTGAGTGGCATTTAGAAAAAGAAAGATGAGGAAATTTAGAAAAACACCTTTAAAATACCAACAATTTTAAAACATATTAATATTAAATTAAATACAAATATATTAAAAATTAAAACATATTACAAAAAGTTAACATGTTTATTTAAAATAAAAACAGTCCAAAGTTTTTTTAATTGAAAAAAGTTATGTAGATTTTGAGGTAAGTATTTTTTTTAAAAAAAAAATTTGCGAAAATTTGACACTTTAAAGCTATTATGAATGATTCTAGCAAGCTTGTCTTCACATCTAGTAATTAAACGGATACATTTTTGAGTAGAGTAAAGGACCTATGTTTCAATAATAAAATAAAAAAAGGTTTAGAAGATTTGACTTTTTTGGGACTTTTGGCCACGGAAAAAAAATTCTGGCCCACTGTGGTATGGTCTGATAGGTGATGAACAATCTGAAAATGTAGAAAATTTTTTGCAAAACAAAAGTAGTTCACATTTTTAGACAATCTAGTTGATAATTACCCATGTTAATGGTTATCCGATTCCATAACACTGTAATTTATTACACATTAACGGATAATTATATTGAAAAATAAAATCACACGCTTTATGTAGTTAATCAATTAGTTTAGACGTCATCATCCGGTGAAACATTTCAATATCAGTATAGGCAAAGTTATAAAAAAATCAAAAATTTCACTTCGCAAAATAAATAATTTAATTACAAGCATATGATAAATTATATTTTTGTATGATTTTGAATGAATATTATTAATGTTAATTCAAAAATAAACAGTTATATTATTGAACTCAAAATAAATAAATTTTATATATGTAAATGGTTGCTAGAAACAGGTGTCATGAGCAGCTCTGAACTTAATATTTATTAAGTATATGTAATATATATATACTAATTTGGCTTTCCTGGCATCACTTCACTTCTCAAAATAAATAAAATTTATATATATAAATGACTGCTAAAAATGAGGTTCATGAGCACCTCTGAATTTTCTTGTGTCCAAATAAAAATAAATGCCCAAAAAAAGAATCTTAATACTTTAAAATACAATAGCTGTTGGACTTTGAAGTTGACTATATATATATATATATATATATATATATATATATATATATATATATATATATATATATATATATATATATATATATATATATATATATATATATATATATATATATATGTATATATATATATATATATATATATATATATATATATATATATATATCTATGTATATATATATATATATATATATATATATATATATATATATATATATATATATATATATATATATATATATATATATATATATATATATATATATATATATATATATATATATAGTCAACATATAAATATGCTATAGTAGATATAGAGAGAGAAAATAAGAGAGAGAGAGAAAACTATAAATGTATAAATAAATTAAAAAAAATTTTTTTTATCAAATAGTTTTATAATTTTAATTTAGTAAAGGGAAATACTTTTTTCACTTGTTTTTTTTTTTTTTTTTAATTTTCTAAATCTATATTAGGATCTATGGGTAGACAGCCTGATGGAATGGGTAATGTACCTATTAGTATTATAACATCTGGAGGTCAAACTTATGCAGTTGCTTCTAATTTGCATACAGGAATGTATTCACAAGGAGCTACAGCTATGCAGATCCGCCCTATTGCTCCTAATGCTGCTGCCGTAGTTCAAGCTAATAGCTTATCACTCCAACAGATCCGTACCAATGTACCACGTATTGCTACTGCTGGTAAGGTTTCTTTATAACAGTTTTTTTTTGTTTATCAAAAAATAAATATTAAATATTATGGTTATTCCCTGATAAAGTAATTGAGCTGAATTAAACACCTTGTGTTTATATTTGTCTGGATTTAAATGTTTTGTTTTATTCATTGTATATTTATGCTTATATATATAAATATAGACACCTTTTTTTCTTATAGATAGTGTTTAGGATAAAAATGGTAGTTAAAAGTTAAAATAAACGGTGACTGATTAAATTTTTGATATTTAGGTACCAATATTGATTAACCAGTGGGTTAATATTCTCAAATATTTGTTAGAATTCTGGTTGGTTAGAATTCTTAAATATTTGTTAGAATTCTCAAATATTTGCTAGAATTCTGGTTGGTTAGAACTCTCAAATATTTGTTAGAATTATGATTGGTTAGAATTTTCAAATATTTGTTAGAATTCTGATGGGTTAGAGTTCTCAAATATTTGTTAGATTTCTGATTGGTTAGAATTCTCAAATATTTTTTCTGTCAATAGTTAAGAGACTAAATTTTTTTTTTCTTCATTCAGTCTAAAAAAGGTTTTTTACATTTTTGTCTATTTTTTATTATTTTCTCCACTGTGTGGTTATGCCAACAAATTTGACATAAAAAGTGTTAAATATCTATATATCCCTATATTTTTTGAAAATCCTTAGTATAAAGTTGAAATAATAATAAAAAATTCTTTTTTTGCTAGTACTCCAATAATTCGATTTGTGAAAAAAAATCTCTGAATTCTGTCATGGTTCTTATAATTATCAATTACATTGAATAATTTGTAAAATTTTATTAAAGTTTATTATTTTAATTATGATTTTATTTACAAACAAAATAATTTAGCTCAGATTGAAAAGCATAAAATTTTGTGTGATTGTTACTTGAACTTTAAATTATAAATAGTTCTGACTGTTTAAAGAAAAAAAAGAGCCAAATACTTACAAGGTGATAATTGCAATGCTAAAAAGTTTTAAAAATTTAGTTTTTAAAAAGTTTGCATCAAGTCATTAATGCAAACTTTTTAAAAACTAAACGCAAGATAATAAGTTTTAAAGTAAAATTGTAATTATAACAATAAGATGAGTAGTTCCATAAATACTTAAAACCAATAAGACTAGTTAGATCAATACTTAATCTCACCAAATAACTATAGATAAAGAATAAATGAATAATTACTAGAATAATTTGAATTATAAATTAGTTGAATAAATACATAATCTAACTATACAATTTTTAAATTCTCATAAAAAATACATATTTTTAAATTCTTATAAAAATTTTGAGATGAAAGATTCTTAACAAAAATTGTATGAAGCTGTAACCTAGTAACTTTGATAATTATTAAATTTTTATTTATGCTTTTAGTGTTTTCTAAAGTACCAGAAAAAAAGTATGAATGAAATAAGAGAAATAAAAAAAATGTAAATGTGCCTAGATCAAATATCTTAACGTAGCTGCATTTGGATTTGGCTACTAAAATGAGCCAAACCCATATGCAAAAAAGCCATATACTGGCATTTCTATATGATAAAAATCATATAGAAATGTAGTATATTTTTCTGAACAAATAACATTAAAATAATAGTAATAGAAAGAAAGTTAAATAACTTTCAATAGATTTTGCATAGAAATGTTAAAAGTAGTAATGTGTGTAAAATCAAATATTATTAGATAACAGCAAAAAAAAAAAAATTCTGAACTTATGTCAAATTATAATTACCTATGACGGATAAAACACATATACAAAGGATTTATTTTTGATTCCTGGTTTAAAAGTTAGCTGGCTTTTATTTAAAATTATAGTATTTAATTTTAGATTTTTATAAATGTTAATAATAAATATTAAATATTTAAATTTAGATGTTTGTTATTTATTTTATAAACTGTGCTTAATTCAGTTTTAATTTCAGGATTAAATTTTCTTATTACTCTTTATTTATTTAAAGTTTAAAAATAATAATTTTGGCTGTTAAATATCCCTCTATATTTTGTAAATTTTTACTTATTTATTGAATAATAATTTTGTTAATCTGTTGTTTTATATTTTTTTTAGGTACACCTTCAGTTAGTAACTTTCCGTCATCACCTGTAAACAAGACCGTTCAACAAATTAGTTGTAAGTAAAAAAAAAAATTGTTTTTTTTTTTCAATATTTTTTTAAAGCTATTATTTTTAAAAAATTGATATGAAACATTTTTAGCCTAAAGTTTTCTTATTTTATAACTCACCATGTCAGATAATATAAGCCTAATAAATTATTTAATGGCAACATATTAACTCAGTTTTAAATGATTTTTGGTACACTAATGTACATTAATATAATAAAAAAAAATTTATCATAATTTATTTCTGTTATCTAATCAATCTTACAGAATGCATCAGAAAAGCTAATGTAAACTTAACAAAAAAAGGTGATTTTTCCAAAAAATTAACAGAATGAAACTAATAACAAATGTAAGGTGTATCCCCCTTGTTGATCTAACAGAATGCCAACCAGTTTAAAATTCTAGTCAAATTAACTCTAGTTAATCTTCTTAAGTTTAATCTGTACAATCCTTTAGTTTGTCTTCAAGTGCAGTTTGTGGGACAGTAAGTTCAGTTGTGGGACAGTGAGCTCAGTGTGTGGGATAAGTGCACAGTTTGTGGGACAAGTACACAGAGTGTAAAGTAATGTAAAGTAGAATTAATAAATAATTCATACCTTCATACTTCTTAGGAATCTATCTATAAATAGCCTTCATTCTAATGGCAAGTGACTAACTCACATTTCTTTGCGCAATGACACAAAGACTGGATTGGCTTGTGTAGAACTTTCTTTTTCTGCGTGTCTGCTACAGGGCGCTGAAAAGAGGTGTGTGTATGACATATCTGTTTTTGCGGACTAAGGCCTAAAATATAATTTTACCAGCTTAGGCCTAAAGTAAAATTGAAATAAAGAGACAGTCCCATGTAACTCAAAAAATCCGTCGATTCCATTTTTGTTAGTTCTAGACTGTTAATGAAATATAATTATTGCTTTTAATAGCGTTTAAATTGTGAAAACAAGAAATAATTTTTGTAAACATAATCTCAGACTAAACAACAACCTATACATACACACACACAAACACACACACACACAAACACACACACGCACACACACATTAGAATTGAAATTTTATTCTGCATAACCCATAATATACAATATTTTCAGACTGTCATTGTTCTTTTAAATGTATGTATTTGATCACTTAGTGTGATTTTTTGTTGATTTATAAATCTTAACTAAGAAAGATATTAGTTAGAGAGTTTATAATAAGAAATTTTCAAAAAAAAAAATGATGAGAATGACTGTAAAAATTGATTGATTGCATAAGAATGATCAAATCATCGATTGGATGAAATTGGCCAAAAAATTGTTAGTTACTTGAGAATGATCAGAAAATATTTTCAAAAACATCAGATTTTTAATTTAAGAATATATTGGATCTAAGCTTTTGTTCTTACAAATTTCAAAAAAAAAAAATCAAAAAAAAAAAGATTAGAAATTATCATTTTCATTAATTTTTCTATCTTTGAGAGATTCATGATCAATAATTAAAAATTTACAATTCTTGTTTAAACAAATTTGAAGAATTGCTGAAGAAATTTTGTATAGTATTGCAACTGAACTTGTACCCTTGCAAAACCAAAAAGTCAAAAATAAATTGTTATAAATGGAAAAGTTTACTGAAGGAGAAAAAATGGTTTAGTAATCATTTTAAGTTTTGTTGTGCTAGTAACCTGTTACTGCTTATAATTTTTGTTAGTACCCTGTTTCCACCTATAAGTTTTGTTAGTAAACTGTTACTACCTTTTTTTGTTAGTAACCTGTTACCTACTATAGTTTACAATGCTTTTATAAATTTATTATGCTTTCATAAAGTGTTTAAGTGATAATTCTACTTTTTTTTCTTATAATTTTTATTAAAAACCACTTTATTAATCAATTAAGTCCCATATACATTTTTCATTTAGATTTATTTTTATAATAAAAGCTGTGCGTACATATATAATCAGTGTCTATTGGGTATTCAAAAAATGTTTAATGTCTTGAACATTTAAAAAAATGTTTAATGTCTTAAGATTGTTGTATTTAAAAAATGTAATGGCTAGAAATGTCCTAAAATTCAATTTATTAACTTATTCTTAAATATATTGCTACAATGTATTAATTAGTTTGACTTGCGGAAGAAATAGTCTTTGTTCTTTATTTTAAGCACACATGAAAATTGCTAATGAGCTGGATTTTTTTGGCTCATATTAGGGGTTGTCCATTAATTACATCAACAAATTTTTTGAAATTTTTACCTCCCCCTCCCCCTTGTCAACAATTTGACAAATTTCTAGAGAGCCCTATAATAGCATATAAAATTACGCCCTATAATAGCATAATAAAATTATGTCAATTTTTAATTTCCCCCCCCCCCCCCATACAAAAGCTACACTACAAACTCAGCCTAATTTTCCATTATTTAAGCAATGAAACTCAAAAAAAAAAAAAAACTTGTTGACGTAAACATTAATTGACCTCCCCCCTCTCCCATGTCAACAATTGTCAAAAAATTGTCAAAAGACCCCCCTCCCCCCTATTTTGTTGGCGTAATTAATGGACAACTCCTTGTTAGAGAGTTCCATTTTTAGAATATATAGAATGGGGTATAAATCTTGCATTGTGGGATTTTCTCATTGAGGCATTGGTAAGGCCATTTAAGAATAAAATTTGCTTGATTAATTTTAGTGCAATTGATGTCAGTAGGCTATCTTAAAAATTAAAATTTTAGTAATTAATATCAATTCTTGAAAATTATTTAAAATGTGGCTTTTCTAGACTCTTACTATCTCCTTGTGGTAAAAGTTTGTTTGATATCTTGTTATGATGAGAACTTTGAATTCTTGTTATGATGAGAACTTTGATATCTTGTTATGATGAGAACTTTGATATCTTGTTATGATGAGAAGTTTTGTAAAATGTCCCCATGATTTTATTTATAGAATTAAAAAAATAAAAAAACTTTTATTTTTTCATTCATATATATATATATATATATATATATATATATATATATATATATATATATATATATATATATATATATATATATATATATCCTTATAGTGTAGTCGAAAGAGTCTTTTAATGTAAAAAAAGTCTCTTTCGACTAAAATTTTAATTACCTCGTCTCTTAAGCTGTATTTGATTGTCGTCAAAATGTCAAAGCAATTAAATTAATGCGGAAGTACATTAAATTTTATTGTTTTTTAAAAAAAATTTTAAAAAACCGCAATAATAATGACTAGAAAGTTTTTTTTAATTAGTGGTGTTTTTGTTTTTGTTTTATTAAAAAAACATTTTTAAAACATGCGTAAATGTTGCTACATCGACTGTCTTATAACCTGCTGCTACTAGGGAGTGTTTCTACATCGACTATCTTTTAGCCTGACTCGCAACGGAGTGCTGCTACATCGACTGACAAATAGCCTGACTCGCAAGGGAGTGCTGCTACATCGACTGACAAATAGCCTGACTCGCAAGGGAGTGCTGCTACAACGACTGACTAATAGCCTGACTCGCAAGGGAGTGCTGCTACATTGACTGAGGGTTTGGTTTGGGCAGTCAGTCTATCATTTAAAAAAAAAAAAAAATTAAGTTTTTAAACTTTTTCTGGTCTGGTTTATTAACGCGCTCTTTAAAACTACAGTTTATGGGAAACTCTTTTTGACTACCATGCAAGAGTATATATATATATATATATATATATATATATATATATATATATATATATATATATATATATATAATGTATATATATATATATATATATATATATATATATATATATATATATATATATATATAATATGAATTTAAGTTTAACATTGTCAAAAAAAAAAATTTCACAGTTTTGTTCTTAAAGGGACTACCAATTTCCAACACGTTGTGTTCATATTAAAGAAAATGTTACAAAACAAAACAATATTGAGTAATTTATTTGAGCTATTTATTTTTTTTATCGAAAAGTAAATGTATATCAATAAAAACTTAAGATTTTATTTAAAGCTTTATATTTATAAGTTTTATATAAAACTTATTGTTTTAGTTAAAGCTTGTTGTTTCCTTTTGTATCTCAGAGTTTTTATAATATACCAATATTAATATATCTACTGGCTTGATAATTTATTTCAAGCACATTTAATTTGTAAGAGTTTTAGTATATAGACTTTTTTTTTTTAAATTTTGAAAATATTAAATGTGAAGATTAGAAATAAAATTTACACCAAAAATGGAGCAAAAAATTAATTAAAAAAAACTAAACATTTTTAGATTTTTCATGACATCATATGCTGAAACTCTTATGAATTAAATGTGCTTGTATTAAATTAATCAAGTCTCAACATTTCAGTATATACAAAATATTTGGAGAGCAAATTAGAGAGGGCAGTGTTGACAGGGATAGTGTTGACAAGGATAGTGTTGACGAGGGCAGTGTTGACAGGGATAGTGTTGACAGGGATAGTGTTGAAAAGAATAGTGTTGACGAGGGCAGTGTTTACAGGGATAGTGTTGACTAAAAAGATCAAAGTGTAAAAGAATTTTAATAGATCTCTCCCATAAAAGCAGTCTTTTCAACTTAACTTAATTATAAATGCACCTCCTGCTTTTATCGATGGAAATACCTAACAATGTTTTTCAAAATGTTCTTCAACTGCATCAAATTGAATTTTACTATTTGAAACTTTAGTTATTGATATATAAATAAATGCAAGTTAAAAGGTAAAATAAAGTTTTTGAAAACAGCAATATTAAATATACTTAGTTTTAAATATATATTTTTTATTTTATTAAGTTGAACAAGGGGCGAATTAAGTGATCGCGAATTGAAAATTCCATAAAAGTTTCTGGTCTTCAAATTTTGTTTATCTTGAAACCATTTTTGCACATTTTTTTTGGACCATTCATAACAGTTTTACAAATTAATGATTTTAGAAGTTCATGCTTGTAAATGTTTCTGAAGTTTTGTAATTTTTCTAGATTCAATAAAATTTTGGGATTTATTTTAATTATTTTTTAGTTATAATTGTGTTTATAATTATGTTTATAAACTAAAATATGTAAATTATAAAAATATTGTGTTAAGTTGTTTGAGTGTAGCAATATCACAACTGCTATTACTTAAATTGAACGATATCTCAACTTAATAAAATTATCTCTGAAAGAATTTTTAGCAATTTTACCAATGTATCTCTGAAAGAATCTTTAGCAGTTTTACCAATGTAATCTGTAAAAATACCAGCAGCATGATTAGTTGAGTAACTATTAATAAGATCAACCCTGTTTGTTTTTTAATTAGCTCAAGCAAATCAGGGAAATTGGAAAATGGACGTTATTTTTTTCCCAAGTAGTAAACTGCATTGAATTTCTTCTTAAGTGAGTCACAATGTTTTTCACCCATTTCTCATAGCCCTTTTTTAATATCAGGGTTTTATTTATACATTCCTTTATACATTATAAAACCTTCCATAACTGATTTACTCCGATAATCGATGAGATGTGCTTATGTTGTTTACTGTTGCAATGACTAATTACGCTGTCTTTTTTAATCAACGGAGTTCCAGGGCAAATCCACAAAATAGAAAAGTTTTTAATGTTTTTAATACGAGATTCATATTGCTTGCAAAGCAAGCAGCATAATTTTACAACATAATTTCCCTCGATATCATACTCAAACTTTAAATTAAACTCTTTTTCCCATTCCAAAACAGTCTAATTTACATCTAATTTACAATGATTATTTTTAGTTTTTGGTAAGAATGATGCCATATTTTAAAATATTTATCACTTTATCTACTACGCTTTCAATTTAATTTATTTTAAACTCTTAATTTTAAAAGTTTTTAAACCTTTTAATTTGCTCAAAGTTATTATAAATTAGAACATCATTTTGCAAATTAAAGCCTTTAAAGTCTCAAAGCCATAATTATGAAATAGTTTATTTTATTCTTCCACCCTTTTCTAACATCATAAAATTTTTGCAGACATATAACAACTAACCTCCACTTACAATAACAAATAATACCACGCTGGAATATTCTGGCAGTGTATGTATTATAGGCATTTTAAACAATATTATATTTTGATTTTTTTAATATATTTTGTTTTTTGGTATCGATTTTTTCATTTCAATTATAATTTTTTTAAATGTGTGTATTTTTAATTATTGTTAATATTTTTAATTAGTATACAACATGGCCGCCATGCCCATAAGTATACAACATACCTGCCATGCCCATGAACGTAGAGAGGAGGACGTCAAGGGATATATTGTCCCGGGACCCGGCTACGTTTAAAGGCCTGTAAGAAAAAAGAGTGAGAAAAATTTTGAGCCAATTTGGCGTTACATGGCGCATATTTTCAGCCAAAGACCTGCAAAAAATGCCCATGCCCCCACTTTTTGAACCACCATTGCCCCCTGTTGCCCATGTGTAATTTTATTCCTAGAATAACTAATTTTTTGAAATATTTATTTTTTATTATTAGCCGAGTTTAGAAGTTTATGTTAAATGTTGCTAAATGAGTCGGATTCTAACTGTGGGAAAAACAAGTGACGCATTTAAAAATAATTACCTGAAGGCGTTGTTAAGTCTATATTATTTATAAAAATAATTACCCAAAGATGTTGGAATATTTTAATTGAAGAAATTTCTTAAAAGCAGAGCCATTACTAGGCTACTCAAACGGCTCCCTTAATCCGGTAAGGGAGAAGGCAGCAAAATTAGGGACCTTTTTGAAATTTTAGGGCTCTTTACTAAATTCAAGGATCTTTTTTTTTTAGTAATACCTAATAATTAAAGCTTTTTAAAATTTTGGGGCCATAATGAAAGGTTTGAGGGAGTGCTCTGCCTCCTATGCTAATACACTGATTAAAAGATGAGGGATATTTTAAAGGAAATATTTCTTTATATTTCTATGATAAAAAAGTTTAAACATAAGATAATTTTATTTTCAAAGCATTACTTTATTTTATTATAGAGAGAAATATAAAATCAGAGATTGCAATCTAACCAATTTTTTTTTTATCATATTTTTCAAGTTTCACGTTTCTAAAAAAACGCTTATATTTTAAAATCAACCAATGAAAATTATCAGTTTAAGTTTTATTTGTAAACACTTTAGTAGTTCGTAGATGAAGTTGGTTGATGTAGATTTGATCATCAAAGCTACATACATAAATATCAACTACATCAAAGTTTGATGTAGTTAATATTTAATGTACTTTATTTAACTTATTTATATTTTCATAAATTTTTGTTATATAACATTAAGTATTTGAATCCTGTAATTGCTTTTTCATTTCCTGTATTTGTATTTACCCTGCTATGTAAATACATGGTTACTCTAGCTAGATTAACCGATGTTTTATAAAAGTATTTTTTTAAACATGTAAGTTATGAGAGTCTTAATGGAATTAGCTATAGTTGATTTTTAAGATCCATAAAAACTGAGTTCACGGTTTTTTAAGAAGCTTAAAATTTAAAAACCAGAATTTTTTACGGAATTTTCAATTCGCGATCACTTGTTGAAATTTTATAACTTTTTTTATAGTTTTTGTTTTTGTTTGTTTGTTTTTTTAAATATCGCGACCCGAGTGCTTATTTATTCTATCTCCATTTTAAAATATTGGGAGATAATATTATGTGATCTTATAAGGTAAGGTAACAACTATTTATGCAATAAATTTTAATAATAACTATTAAAAATATTATTTGCTAATAAATTTACTAATTATTTATAAAAAAAAAAAAAGGTAAAAAAATAAAAAAATAAAAAGTTTTATTTTTATTTTTTAGATATTAACGCGGAAAAGTTCTTTTAACATTTTAAAATGAGGTTGAAATAAATAAGCACTCAGTTCACGATATCCTTATCTTTTTTGCAAGCTTTACAAATTTTTAATTTTAAGCTTTTGAAATTTAAACATACATACAGATTTTTAATTTGCAATGCAAACGACAACACTATGACTTTTTGTGGTCTTTTAACTCAAAAGCACTATTAAAATACAATTTGTGGTCTTTTATACTCAAAAACATTATTAATATACAAAGTAACAACTTTCTTTTAAGCATCAGTTCTTTTTGAAACTTTTTTTTTAAACAGTCACCTCTCAACAATATCCAATTTATGTAAAAAGTTGAGCAGATGTTCTTCTAATAATCCCAATATAATATAACAGTAATATAATATAATAATATGAACTAGTAGTAATATAATATAATGATGAATGAATAATATAATCTAACACTTTTTTTAATTATTTAAACTTATAATTTTTTAAACTAATTATTTTTTAATTATTTAAACTTATAATAACTTAAAATATAGTAATCTCTAAAGACAGTTTTAAATTAAAAAAAAATTACTGACGTAGTTTTGCCAATTATTTAACCTTTTATGGGAGTAACATGATCATTTTCATATCATTTGGAAATGAAACACCTTGGTGTACACGCGTCTACGTAAGTTTTCTTGACTTAAGTCTTTTATTTTTGTTTTCATTTCACGTGAAATCAATGTAAAAAAGCTTTGACATTAAAAAAAATTTATATTATTTGTATTTTATAATTGTTACATTTTTTTTACTACTGTGTTAAGTAGCTTTCAATTTTATAGTTTAAAAACGAATCCTGTATTTTTATACATTTTTACACACCTGTGCTTATACATTTATATACACCTAGTTTTATACATTTATACACCTTTTCTTAATACTTTGATGAGAATTTTTTTATTTGCACTAGTAACGGTTCCTCTGCAACAACGAACTTCACCAGCTAATACATCAAGTACCCAAGTCCTTACAAAGCGTAAACTTCAAGATCTCCTCAATGAAATTGATCCAACAGAAACAATGGATGAAGATGTTGAAGAAACGCTTCTACAGTTAGCTGACGATTTTATCGAAAATGTAATTAATTCGTCGTGTCAAATTGCAAAGCACAGAAAGTCTACAACTTTAGAAGTGAAAGACATGCAGCTGCATTTAGGTGATTTAAACGCTTACATAACAAGTAATGCATAAATGTGCGTCACTTGTAATGTAATATAATGATAATGGTGTTTTAAGGCTTATTGTTTTTTTTTAGATAATTAAATCTTAAGTAACTGAAATCTTTATAAAATATTTAGATCGTAACTGGAACATGTGGATTCCTGGATTTGGAAGTGAAGATCTTCGTCCATACAAAAAGCTACCTTCTACTGAAGCTCATAGACAGGTAAACTCAGTTGTGTTTATATCAACTATGCTTGATTTGAAGTTTTTAAATTTGCCATCTTCGGCTATAAGTTTATTTTAATCGTTTTAATCGGTTTATTTTAATCGTTGCAATTACTTTTATTTTAATCGTTGCAATTATTTTTTAGCGAATGGCGTTAATCAAGAAGGCGATGAAAAAATGAGAGTCAAGTAGGCAATGAAAAAAAACGAAGTTTATTAGTTTGTAAATAGTTTTATGAATAAAAATTAAAATTTTAATGTTGTTATGCATTTATTTTATCAATAACAATATAAGGTGTATAGCTTATCAAATGAAGGTGTAAAGGTTTTTAAATAATGGTGTATAGATATCGTGTGAAGGCGTAGAAATTATCAAATTAAGATTTAAATGAAGGTGTATAGATTATCAATTTTTTTATTTTTGTTATTTTTTTTATACTCAGTATAAATATTTCTCGACAAAACTCAATATATTTAGTTTTGTATTAATAATTTTTATTTTTTTTTATTTCTTTGAATTAAATGATTTTTTTGAATTGTAAATATTCACACTTTGCGGAACTTAATAAATTTAATTTTGCATTTATAAGTTTTTATTTCTTTAAAATTAAGTTTATATAGATATGAAATTAAGATAAATAACGATAATTTAAATTTTTTTATTTTGTTTCTAGTACCATTCAAATAATACTAATAAAATACTTAAACAAATTACTATTCGTTTATTTTTATCGTTATTATTCAAATGTACTTCTATCTGACAATCTGTTTATTTTTCGTGGTTTAATGCGTAAAACAAAACAAAAATCAACACATATCAGACACAAAAAAGGTGCAACAAATTTTAAATTTGCTTCTTATAAAATATAAAAAATTTTATACTTTATCAAATTGAATGCATGAAACAGCACTATTAAAATACAAGGTTTGCAGCAGCTTTTAACCGGTTATTCCGATTGACTCAAAAACATCTTCAATCGAATCCTCGATCCCAAATACCCTTTATTAGACAGCTAGACAGTCATTTCAGCTTAAAAACTTATAGTTTACAAAAATGGTTATGCTAAATTTTGTTGTAATATCTTGCGTTGTTACAAAAAAATATTTTATTTAAACTTGAATTTATTTAATAAGTTATTTGAAATAACTTAAGAAATATCATTCATAAGATGATGCATTTGAAATGTTGCATTTGAGTTGACAACAACAACTATTATTTATAAACTAGTGTAAACTTAAACTTATATATAATAGTTGTATATATATAATAGTTATATATATAATAGTTGTCGTCAACGACAAATATTATTTATAAACTAGTGTAAACTTTCTTTATTGATAGCTAAACGAACACGTAATAAGTAATAAGTCAAAGCTGCAAATTAAGTGTTATGATTGGTTTTGCAAGTGAATTTTTATATTCTGAGTTACAAAAATTAAGAGATGTTATTAAATAGATTAAGAAATTAAACAACTTTAAGAGATGTTGTTAAATGCGGTCTGCTTCTAAGAAGAGACGATAACTGTAAATTAAATGCAAAACTTAAAGATACGTTCAAAAATGTTTTCTTTAAAGCGATAACATAATGGTTGAAAGCAAATCCTGAAATTCCCATTGCGACTGACAAAGTCGGTATAAATATAATAATTAGATTATGTAAAAAAGCTACAGATATTGTTAACTTCAAGTGCAACATTGAGACCATTTAGATAAGCTATTAGATATAGTGAAGTGCAAGTGTGACATTGTTTCTTGTGACGAGGCAAGTTGTAGTTCATGTGTTTTTAAAGCTCATATTTCTTGTCAATGCAAGAGAGAAAACAAAATTCCCAGAATAGAACTTCAGTTTATTAAATCCCAAAGAGAAAAATTTGAGGTAAAAAGTTGTATGCAAATGAGTGCTCAAGATTTTAAAGAAGCTAACAGACGAGAAAAAAATTATAAAAGGAAGGAAACGGGAAAAAAAAAGTCACAAATAGAATATCTATCTTTTTATTCTCAAGAAAAAAAAACTTAAGTGCCAATTGTAAATATTGAGATTACTGACGATGAAGCAATTAAAATCTAAAAATAATGACATGGTAAAAAGAAATTGAATTTGATGTATAATGTTTTATGGAAGAAAGAATGAGACAAAATTTTCTTGGATTGGAGAAGATGGAAAGTTTCACCACAGACTTGTACAAGAAGACCATTATTCAGTTTGTGCAAATCCAGGTGGTTTATATCTGTACCATTTTACAAATGACAAAGAAAACAGATTTGAGTTTATTACCCCAGCAGAGAATATAGCAGAACATATATATTAATGGATTATAGAACATGGTATAGAATCCACTCTAGTTGATGTTGGCTGTGATTCAAGCAATTTTAATACAGGTAAATGTTTTATAATAAATACAGGTAAATATTTGATGTTAAATGCCATGCATAAATTTAAATGAGTATTTTTTAGACTGGAAAGGATGTATTATTCATTTTTTAGAAAAAAAACTTCAAATCAAACTTATTTGGATAGTTTGTGCTTTACACACAAATAAAATACTTTTTAGGCACTTAATGTCAGTTTTTGATGGAAAAACAATTTCAAACAATAATTTTTCTGGCAATATTGGTAAACTTGTCCCTACTGCCAATAATCTCAAAATTTCCATTAATATAATTCAATCTATAGATATTGAAATTGATTTATTACATATCAATAAAAGTACTTTAAAAGATTTATCTAGTGATTAAAGTACTTTAAAAGATTTATCTAGTGATTAAAGTACTTTAAAAGATTTATCTAGTGATTAAAGTACTTTAAAAGATTTATCTAGTGATTAAAGTACTTTAAGAGATTTATCTAGTGATTAAAGTACTTTAAAAGATTTATCTAGTGATTAAAGTACTTTAAAAGATTTATCTAGTGATTAAAGATATCTCTATACCGGATAACAAAAGCTATTAAAAATAAAATAATGCCCGACGATTTAAAAGAAATTCAAGTTGGTCCCCGAAATCATGCACGCTGGTTAAACTTCGCAAGTAGGCTATGCAGAATCTGGTGTTCACACCATGGACTAAATGGAAACGACGCTGAAAATTTAAAACACCTTGTACAGTTCTGTGTTTGGTGTATACTCTGTATTATGGTTTGAAATTAAGGTAACAACTTTTTTTGTTTACTTTGATTATTTGTGTGTGTATGGATAAATTTATTAATAAAAAATGTTTAGGTAAAACAAATGAACTAATGAGCCATAGCATATTATTAAACAGCTGGAGCTTGTTCAAAAAATGAACATAAATGTTCAGAAAACCGTTTTACCCTATGTTTGCTGCTCTGCCTAGAATGCTCACAGTGAACCCATACTTCAAGCACTACTTTGTTGCAAAGATAAAGAAGAGAGGATGTTTGCAGTGAAGACCATACTTTCAATAAGAAATTTAATTTCTCTAGGAAATACTGCTGTTAGATCTAGAAAAATTCCAAAAATTAACACCGATGCTGAACCTATTATCGAACTGATTGATTGGAGGACTGATATGAAATGCTTCCTCCTAATTAAGATAAGTTAGAAAATAAACATTACCAGGGAATTTTTTTTTAATTAGTGCGTACGTACTTTTAAACCAAGTTTATCATTAATTTATATTAAACATTACCGCCCCTATACGCTTTCTGAACGCTATATCCCTCCCTCCCCCCTCCTTATCTCTCCACACAGTTTAAAAGTATTGCTGTCGTTTTATTCTCAGCTTTTTATTAATAAGATTTTTTTGAGATTTATCAAAGTTCTAGATTACTCTTTTGTGATGATTAGAAATACATTAAAATGGAAAAAGGTTGATGAACTAAGGGACCAAAAAAGAAAACAAACTGAGCATTCAGACCGTTTAAAAATGGTGCCGCTGTTCCTGATCCTTTTGTGTTTTCCTGTAAAATTAAAAATGATTTAAATTTAAGAGTTTACCAGAACAGTACGTAAGCGGTTATTATTTGCGAGAAGTCCAAGGAAAATTCCCTTTTTGTAAAAAAGACACATTGTTGCAAAAAAGCATTTTGTACATGAAGATTGGCCTGCTTTAAAGTAGCAAAATATTTTGTAGTCTGATGAAAGAAAAATTGTTTTGTTTGGATCATGTGGATGCAGAGTATCCGTAGGAAGGCTAATTAACAATGCCTAAAAACTAAAATATACTTTAAAAGCTGTTAAACATGGTGGGTTAAATAAATATATGAGTTGTTATTCTTATTACGGCGTATTGCCCATTTATGAGATTAATGAAATTATGGACCAAGATATTTATCTGGAAGTTTTACAAAAAACCAGGTTGTCTTATGCAAAAGAACACACGTGGTTAAAATGAGACTTTATGCAAGACAATGTGGAGAAGGGAATTGAAGTTATGAATTGGCCTGCAGTTTCTAAAGAAAAACAAGGAGGCAATTTCTAAAGAAAAACCAAGAAATCAGCACAAATTTTCAGAATGTTTGCAAAAACATTTCTTTACAACATTATAAAGGTCTAATCAACTCCATGCCAAATCGGTGAAAAAAATAATTCAAAATCAAAGGCTTATGTTATTATTAAAAAAACTTATTGCTAAAAATATCTAAAATTATATTTGAAAAAAAATCTTTATATTTTTATCAAAATGGCTTTAGGCTGGATATCTAAAACGGACGTCACTTTTTTAAGGTATTTTTTGACCCCCTCCCTTTTTTGTCACCGGTTGACCAGAAAACAGTAATTCACATGTGAATTACTGTTTTCTAAGTTTGAAAAATAACTTGGCGCTAATTGGCGATTACCACGTTTGACTAACATAGTTTTTTCTTGTAGGTCTCCCTGAAATAAATAAAAACAATATTATTTTAGTCTTATTCTATTTATATTAAATTTAATCAAAGCATGTCAAAGGAACTTGTCTCACTCTTCGTCCACTCAAAGGTTTTTTAGATAATCCTCAGTTTATACAATTGGAAGTCCAAATTATCTGAAAGAGTTATTTGGAAATTTGGAATATTGAGGTCCTTCGTTTTGACTTTTTCCTCATTAAGTCATTTATCAAAAACTGCATTCTTTTTTATCGCAATAAAACTCTTTTGTATTTAACAGCAATGGTCTAACTCGCGAAAGAACAAATTACAACGCTTACAGATTCTCTGAAATAAATTCAATTGCACAGAGGGACAAAACATATCATATTGAAAGCGATAAAGAAAAATACAAAAGGCAAACGATTATTGATGGTGACATCTGAAATGACT